AGGAACCGCACAATCAACGACGCCATCGTGCCCCACGTCCGCTGGAAAATCATGCCCAGTTCGTGTCGGAACCCAGGCACGGCATCGCTCGAGACAATAGTGATTGTGTTGGCCGTGTCGTTGTACGAGTACACGACGGAACACAAGTCGAGGCCAAGCTCAGTGTGGGGAGCACACCCTGAGCAAAACGACGTCGAAAAGAAGCGGTACATGGGCGATAGGAGTCATTGCCAGGCTCAACGGGGGGGGCCGTGAAGGCAAATCCAAACCAGTGGGAATTGTTAAGGATAAAAGTAATGTCGTTCTGGACAATACCGAAACGAATCGCGTTGGTCTTGGCTGTGGCTGGCGCAGGCAATGTACACACTGCAGGAGATGCCCACAGGAATGGTTGGTGTCCTCTCGAATTGCTTTCGACACCATCCACATTAGAACGTTCAACTTGCCGTGCTGAATCAACAATTGAATTAGCACTCCACATCGATCGTGATCTGTCGAATCTTGGACAAGGGGTTTGGTGACTCGTGTCAGGAAACGAGTACTCCTGGTCCATGCTGTTGGCAATATCAACGTCAGCAGCGGCGCGAGCTCGTGCTTGCCGTTGCCAGCGTAGGGGATGCATTCCCAGGCGTTTACGATTACATTGACGACCAGCAACATTGCGCGGAAAAATCCAGCGATGCGTGCACCAGTCCCTTGAGCTAACCACAGCGTAGAAGGGGGCATGGTACTTGGACGCTATACTGCAATCCTCCCGAGGTAGGGGCGATGGTGCATGGCCCTGGAACAAGACCAATTCGCGACATCTCCCACTCAATGCAGCCACTCCGTGCGCCAACGTCAAGAGGGGAGGTGAATTGAAGTACTTAGCAACCAGGGCTGATCAGGTCTTTCAGAGCAAATGCTCGCATTGTGGTTGCCACCAGCTTTGGTTCCAGAAAGGCTCCACGTGGGGGTCGGTTGGGTATGGATGTGGGGGTTTAGATGTTTAGGCGTCAGGTTGAAAGGCTCATTGCTTGGTGCCTTTCGCACCACGTCGAACCCCTGACGGCGTTGTTGGCCTCTCTGACTGCCTTGGCCCGCTCCGTTCGCGGAGCGGCGCTGGCCCGTTTTCGTTGATGCCTGCCGAACCGTCTTCCTTCACTCGCCGTTTAATGGCATGGCTGACGCGTGTTGTGCCACGAGCAACACGTGCATCCGTCTGTGCTTCAGTTTTTACGTGGATGGCCTTAACATTTGAATGACTATGCGATGGTTGTTTGCTGCACCTAGTCTCCCCACCGAGATGGGGGCTGCATCCGACTCGCCTCGTTGCGTGGGGTGTACTAATACTTCACTCGCACGCCACCCAGTCCCACTGCACCAAATGTATGTTTACGAACCGCTGGACGATTATCGACGGTGGGGGATTGGGGGCGCATGTCTGCTGGGCCAGAATCAACCTAGTAGTGCCCATATTACGGTCGTGCCGTTCGCCAAACAGCCAAGCGATTATCCATCTTCCAACTGTAGTCGTCCTGACTCACGCATGCCGTGTGTACTGTTTCCGGTGCGTTATCCAATGTTAAACTGTGAGTCCCTCAGGATCTTGACTTCGACGCCGAGCGCTTGGACTTCGCGCTTGTCCGAATCAATCAAATGCACATGGCCTTCCGAGTCTTGTACGAGGAAATGCACTTCACCCACGGGGTCGAGCGTCGCTATCGACGGGGACACTTTGTCCTCGTTCTGTCGGACGGTCTGCATCGACCCTTTGGCAGCACTGCTCGACGCCAACTTGCGTAGCATCGTCGGTTCTTCGGCAAGCCCAAAGCACTTGAGGTGGCTCGTAAAGTACCACCTCATGGTCGACATCGTCCGCGCTTTGATCGTGATCGTTGCGTGGGGGTCGCCGTTCGTGACAACGAGACCCATGTCCGCAATGATCGACGACGAATTGTACATGTGCTGGCGGCCAAACGACGTCTTGGCCATGAGGCGCCACCAGTCGCGGTTCACTACGTGGTCGACGAAGAGGACGAGGAGAAGGTTGAGCACCATGAGCATTCCGAGAGACGGAAGGCCGCGGATGTACCAGCTCTGTTCAAACTCGACGTAGATCGCGTCCAAGTCGTCCACGAGAGATGTGACTTCGACTCGGACCGAGTTGCCGTACTCGGTGTAGTCGATGCGTTCAAACAGGACAAACACCGTCAGGTACACCCACGTGATGCTGCGAAAATTGAGCCACCCCATGACAAAGTTGGTGCCGCTAAACCGCGCCGTGCTAAACAAGTTGCACGCGAGCTTGAACACCTTGAGAATCGCTAGGTTGAACCACATCCACCGAAAGTCGAGCGCAAACAGTCGCAGCTGGGTCCACAACTCAAACGACGCGGGCTTGTACCAGCGACTGAGCACACGGCCGTACACCATGGCCACGTCTTCGTCAAACATGACCGACATCGAAAACATGAGCACAGTGAAGTCGCTGTTGAAGCAAAAGTACAAAAAGTGAAACGCGTTGTTGACGTGCCGGTACTGCGGGGGACTGAACTTGTGCACGAGTCGCTTGCCCACCGACGTCAGCGACAGCGAGTCCGTCCACTGGACAGTTTTTTGGCTTGCGGCAAACGCACACACGACAGCCAGAATACACAGCCCTCGGACCCACAGCGACAGGACGGGGCCCCACCTCCGGAGCATGACAATCCCGAGAATGTGGTGTTGCCCGTAGATGGCAAGGCTCGAATGGACTTGGAGGTCGTGCGTCGCCGCGTTGTACGAGTACTCGATCGTGCACGTGTCCATCCCGAGCTCCGTATTTGGTCGGCATCCCGAGCAAAATGCCTTGCTATAAAACCGGTACATGGTCACGTTGAACACGGCGGTTTGGCCATGCGTGTCGAGGGGTATGGCAGTCGTGAGCCGCATGTCGAGCCCGACACGACCTGGAACGTATCCGAGCGCTGCCAGAGTCGACGCGTTGTCGCCCGTGTGGCCGCGTGGAGCCGTCGCCGAGTCGTCGAACAAGTGCGTCAACGTCGAGCCGCGGATAAACGTGACATGGTCTTCAATCGCGCCGAGGCGGACCGTTGGAGTTGTTGTATTGACGAGGGGATACGTGTTGACGAGCTGATTGCAAATGTCGTTCTCGGGCGTATCGATCGTGTGCGATCCGAGCGTCAAGTGGTAGTGGAGTCCATCTGTGTCATGGGCTTGTCCGATGGCGGCGTTGATCATGTACCGGCCGCCGTTGGACGCGACCCACGGGGACGCTGTCGTCGGAAACGCGTACATTTCCACCAGGTCATCGATCGAGTGCGTCGTCAAGAGCGGGGTCAAAAAGTGCTTGGCGTTGCCCATAAAGTCGTTGAGCTCCCAGTTGTTGCCAACGATGTCGATGACGACCAAGAGCGAGCACGATACACTCACGACGAGGACGAGGAACCGAAGCGTTGTCGACGCCGTCGCGTGCAACTTGGATGGCCGCTTGGTGAGCTGTGGTGGCATCATGGCAACAGCAGCGAGTGGTGTGCCGAGGCGCGAGTCGACGTTGGGACAACGCGTGCGCTATTTTCAGCCTGCCGTGCCCGGATTTGGTAATATTGTTAGGATGGCTCTCCGGCCGTCGATATCAGTTGCTCATGTCTATGAATACCACCAAT